TCTGTCAAGAAGGTARCAGTGCCACTATCTTCAGAAACATTCAGATTATTGGTGACATCAAGCTCTGTCACACTGGACAAATCCTCCATGTTGACAGTGAAGTAAACAAAGGAGAAAATATCAGCATTTGTGTTTGTTCAATCATTGCTGGTTCCAACATAAATAACATCAGTTGTATTTGCTGCTTCAGGTTCAGTCAGCAGTGTGTTTAGACTAGAGTGAGAGAACTGATGTGTCAGTTGAGGTTCCTCTGTGCTTTTCTGGCTGTGAATCACAAATGTTGTCCTTACTTTTTGTTGTTAAGTAAAAACGCAAAAGAGGCAGTTTTGTCTGTTCGTACAGTTCTCTGACTGTAATGTGTTCATCTACGCTCCTGAAAATCTGTTAAGTCAACCTCAAAATCTGTGATTCTTCCCTCAGAATTTTTTTGACCAGGAAAAAACAACTCTGAAGCTTTTTCTATCTACTCATTTTTTCTAGTTTTTTGACGTTTATTTTTCTTGTTCCTCCACCTTTTTTTGTCATTACTTGAAAAAAACATTCCATTACGAAAGTTGAGCCAACCCAGCTCAACTTTTCTCACGGTCTTCTCTACATTCTTTGAGTTTTCTTTTTCTGACACATGCTCAAAATCACCTGTTGTTGTTTTTTTTTTCACTTCAGTAGAAAAAAGAACTTATTAGTTTCTTAATTTCTTCATCATCAGTGATTTTTTAAGAAAAGAGAAAATAGGAAAAACAAAGAGGAAATGTAATTAGAAAGACTGAAATAGAGATTAGAAATATATTAAATATACACCAAGGAAACACAAGGCCACACACCCGACATCTGTCCGCTAAGAGAACATAGCAACAAAAACACATATCTACATAATAATAAAATTAATTATAATTTCTCTGTAAAGCATGCATACATTTAAACATATACCCATACATATCTATATAAATATATACATGCATACATTCATACATACTGTAGATAAATACACACAGACATATATACGCACTCAGTGACCAGTCAGAACCCCCGGATCAGAACACCTGTTTGTGAGCAGTTGTGAACATGTGTGTATTTACAAGATTTCTCTAATGGAATATTTTAGTGACTGTGGAGGACCAAAGGCCCAAACCCCAACGCACGAGGCAGACATTGGGGAGACCAGAGCCCAAGGACCGGAGAGGGACCCCGAACACAGAGCCCCCAAAGGCACCCACACGGGAAGATCCGCCCACCCACCCCCCAGATCAGACCATAAGGGGAGAACCGGGCGAGTCCCTCCAGTGACCACACGCAGTAAACCCCCGGGGCCAGCAGCGACAAGATTGAAGAAATTTTGTAACTGATTAAATGAATATTAAATTCAGTTTTGTATTTTTTTACTTTCTGATCATTGCAGCTTTAAGACCATAACAGAATAAGAGTTGGTGTGTGTGTCTTATCATGTGTTCTTTCTTTTAGCCTAAACAAAACTGAGTGACGTTCTGATGTCTGACGTAAAAGGTAACACCTCTGGGGTGTAACCAGGAAGAAAGATACAAGTTCACTTCATTATTGTAATAGAAAGAAGGAGTTGTCACTGTGTTAGAGTCTCTGCTTCTGAGCAGAGCAGCTCTGCTTTGTTTGGGTTTTCTTGATATGAGCCGAAGGTCTGACTGAGGCCTGTGTGCTGAGTGCTGTTCTGTGAACCTGATTGGAGTCAGATTATTGGAAATAAAGTTTTAAAGAAGAAATCCAGTTGATTCCTGTTTATTCAGGCTTATCATTTTAAACAAAGCAGCCCCCCCCCCCACCCCCCCAGGCCAAAGCACGACAGGGCCAGAGGACCCGAGCCCCAGCAGGCAATCACCAGGGCAGGCTGGCACCCGCCCCAGCGCCCGGCCCCAGACCTCGAGAACCCCAGCACGCTGGCGGGGAACTGCACACCCCACCGGGGGGCAGTGTAGCAGTGGGCCCTCAGACAAACCAGCAGGGGGGGCAGCCCAGGCCCCAGCCTGGCAAATACCCAAACATACACAATCGCACCATCCCGCCCTCATCCTCACACACACTCATTCAAAGACATACAAAAAGGACGCCACATTCAGAGTTGTAAAATATCTAAGTACAAATACTTTGTTACTGTACTTAAGTAGAAATTTTGGTTATCTGTACTTTACTTGAGTAATTACTTTTCAGCATAATTTTTACTTATACTCATTACATTTTTACACAGTTAACTGTACTTTCTACTCACTACATTTTTTTAAAAAAAAGGTAAGAAGTAGAAAGTCGTTACTCCTGTTTTATTCCAAGTTGTTATTCCCTTTAAAAAAAACTATCCTATAAATTGTGTCTCCTGATTGAGTGAATTTAATTGTGTTTGGATGAGAAGTATAAATATATACCATTCTGACACACTTTAATCTTGTACACAACCCATCACAGCTGCACGCTGTTAGAAAATATATTTTTTGGAGAAGTCACCTCACAATAAATGTCTTTTAGGAAAATATAACTGCTCACTTTTACTCAGTACTTTTACTTTTGATACTTATGTAGATTTTGTGTCAGAAATTTATTTTTTATACTTGAAGTACAAAAAATATCAGATACTTTAAGACTTTTACTCAAGTAATATTTTTAGAGAAGACTTTAACTTTTACCAAAGTACTTTTATGATAAGATACTTGTACTTTTTACTCAAGTATCACTTTGAT